CTCTTCCCACCTACAATTCTAAGTGAATTTGCCTCTTTTCCAAAATATTATTCCACATATTTTTATTCATTTTGGCCTTATTGAAAATAATGAAATGGTGAATCATGGAGCTTTATATTACTTAATATTTGAATCCATGGTTTACATAACATTTATATAGATGACTTAATCAACTCTCACATTTGGTAAAAAATGAAAATAATGTTTAAAGTTGATGAGACAGACTATTGTAAAAATAATAGGAAGTTAAACACTTTTCAACATTACTGATATGGTCAGTTGTTGTTCTATAGAATTTAGAAAGGGCAACTGCATGGTATTCAGTACTCAAGAGTTGTCCATTTATGTATAAAATATTAATGTATGAATCCCAATATGAATTTAGGAAACTATATCATATACTATCTAAATGATATGATAATATGTAGTAGATATATGCCAAAAATTGTCCAATATGTAAAATATTTAATTTCATGAGGCGCGTAGCGCCGAAGGGAATTCAATATTTTACTTATTGGTCAGTTTGAGGCTTATATCTTACTTAAATTACTACTTTTACTACCAAATATCATGTTATCTATCGAAAATTTAGAAATAATGTATTTTTGTGCTAGAAATGTACAATATTAATGTTTTAGCAATTATCTTTTTCTTGCTTGCAAAACCCTATAAGTAGCCTCTTGAATAACAAAATGTCCGTAGCATGAAATTTTCGTGTTTTGAAATATGACCAATTATGTACATGAAGACAATGATATACACAAAATAGACCAGTTACACAAAATGTTGAACTTACACACATACAGTATACATCAAATTACATTGAAATAATAAAAATGAAATGTTTTAAAATTTGTGTTGAATCTTGGATATTTTGAATGATTGAAGAAGGATTTATACTGACCATTTAGTGTTAAAATGATATTTTTCTTACTTTACTACAACTATCAAGGATGTAAAATTTTCTGTAAGAATTGCCATTAGTATTCACGCAACAAAATGATATTTTCTTATTTTTGAATTGGCATATGTCATTCCACAGGAGTCTGGAATCTGGAATCGTTTCTATATATAAGCAATCAAATATAGCCGCTTTTGTTTTAAATATTTTCTCTATTGTATCTATTTGAAAAGCTGACCATTACACTTACTTGTAAAGTTGACCTAACTGAAACATAACGTACATACAGAAAAATCAAATATGATTGTCATGTAAACGTATATTTAAAAAAGAAAAAAAGAAACGGACACTAGACAAGAAATTAAACAATCCCATTAAATCATATCCGCTATCTTTCAAACAGTGATAAGATGTTAAGAGCTTGAAAATCGAAAACAGTAGGCTTGGGATAATAATTCGTTAAATGAGCAATTAAGATAACAATTATTGTTCGTTTCGTTAAATTATGTAAAATGCGTAATGGGCGAAGGAAAGACATTGCATCATTCCTCGTGTTAACTTCGGAGATAAGATGTTACATTTTACTTAATCGTTTTTTGTTTTTTTTTGTTTTTTTTGTTTTTCTTTTTTCTTTAATTTGGAGAATTTTCCGCAAAATCCTGTGGTCATACAAGCTTCTTTCACTACACGTCACGCTGTCTGATATTATTGTGTTACACAATTAATATTGGACTTACACATTAATATTGGACACCTACCTGTACTGTATTAAAAATACAGTACGGTCAGAACAAAGGAATGACGTCATAGTAGTAATTTAATCTGTCATAACAATATACCCAAAACAACAGTATAAGATAACAGTATTGTAAACATACTACAATAATCTTTTTATATATATATAGTAACTACAAATTATCACACTGTAATACCACATTTGACAATTTATTATTTTATTATTTGGCACGAAACTGACATCAGACAAAAAACATAAAAATAAACATATGAGACAATGGTCCTGTGAACGTTGCCTTTGCCTTGTTGATCTTTATTCTTGTTATTGAATGATTTTAATAAGATATTTAAAGTGAAGATTTAAACTGACAAAACAAACAAAAAACTGGCAAAAGTTAACCAACCAAATAGAGGGTTTTTTGAACAAAGCTGCATTGAACCAGTGGTGTCAGATTTTGGTAATCAATCCTATATATGGTTTTACACTAGCAGTACAATATTTTGTCAGCTTGTTACTCTAATGATCCAAAATAAGGTAGAATGAGGTAACTACATTTGTTAAGTGAAGTTCAAGAAAGTTAATTAAATCTTAAAGGTTTGTTTATGATGAATTTAAAAGATGATCTTAATACTGATTATATTACTTTAAAACTTGTTTATCAGTATGATAATTGAACAGATTCAGACATTTTATGAAAATTAATTTCTTTTATACCACATTGAGGCTATTGATAGTAAATGGGATTTTCTTAAATTCCTGTGCAAATTGTTTAGAATCTTTTTATAATTGAGAATGATGTCCCAATGGCGTTAAAATGTTAAAAGTGACTGTTTTGGAGTCGACAGGGGTAAAATAAGGGAACAAGCAACTTTTTGTGCGACTAACAATAAAATTAATTCACCTATGGAGGTGAATTAATTTTCTTGTTAAATCTTTGTTAAAGCCGATGTTTTAACAAAAAGATAACGCTATTTTTTTCTGAACAACTGATTTTTTAACAAAGATATTTAACAAAAAAATTAACAACACTTTGTTAATTTAACAGAACTTTAACGTTAACAATGTTTGAACAACAGAATTGCTTAACAACAAAATTTAACACAGAATTTAACAATTTGTTGTTATTTTAACTATGATGTCATTGTTAAATATTTAACAAAAGTTGTTTTTACTTTTATAAAGTGTTTCAGAATCCATGAACCTGATGTTAGTTTTAGGACAAACCAAAGCCATGCTACTAAGTTAATAAAAACCTTATTATAAAAAGATAATATTTATTTCAAAGAAACATCTCAAACAATAGTGAACATAAATACAAGACAGATAATGTGTACAATATATCCATTTTGGATAGTTTGCAATTTGGATGTTAAATTTCGTGATGCTACAACTCCGATTGGTCTCCTTAAATACAATAAATTGTAATTTAAATGTTACATACATGTATGTTAATTCATTCACTATTTACACTTTCTGAATATTGAAATAGATGTAAAACTCTTGTTGGTGTTTCTGTTTTTAATAAATATTTCTTATAAAGTCATTATAAAATCTTAATCATGTACATGTATATGGTTTTCTCTCTCAATGTTTAGCTGAACATGTTCTTCCCTGATAAATTTTCACAAACATATGGACTTAAGACTATACTCAGGCAAGATCTTCAATAATCAGGGAAAACATACAGGAGGCATATATGCACTGCCATGTGTGTCTTGTCTAACGAATCCTTCGTTAAATTTAAGTTAATAAAAACCTTATTATAAAAAGATAATATTTATTTCAAAGAAACATCTCAAACAATAGTGAACATAAATACAAGACAGATAATGTGTACAATATATCCATTTTGGATAGTTTGCAATTTGGATGTTAAATTTCGTGATGCTACAACTCCGATTGGTCTCCTTAAATACAATAAATTGTAATTTAAATGTTACATACATGTATGTTAATTCATTCACTATTTACACTTTCTGAATATTGAAATAGATGTAAAACTCTTGTTGGTGTTTCTGTTTTTAATAAATATTTCTTATAAAGTCATTATAAAATCTTATTCATGTACATGTATATGGTTTTCTCTCTCAATGTTTAGCTGAACATGTTCTTCCCTGATAAATTTTCACAAACATATGGACTTAAGACTATACTCAGGCAAGATCTTCAATAATCAGGGAAAACATACAGGAGGCATATATGCACTGCCATGTGTGTCTTGTCTAACGAATCCTTCGTTAAATTTGGCCTGTCACACACGTTCCACAATCTTCAGTTTCAAGTTGTGTCTAGAGCTAAGCTATATTTTTTTTCACACACACACGTATACCAAAACTATATAACTTAAAAGAAAACACGTGTCGATTTAGATAGTCTTCTTAATTTCACTGCATCAGTGCATGGAATTAGAATTGTCCTTATATCCATTTTCGAATACTGTGACCATACGCATAATGTATGATGAAGTTAACTGTTCACTAAATGAAACTGCTTTTCATCATACCAGTAACTAATTGAAAATGCGAAGCGAACAAATATTAGCCGATCATGAAAACACATCGTAAGGAGCCAAAATGTTTGCGTACAATTAATTTATCGGATCAGTTAGCATGCGTACAGTAAGAAATACAGCAATATTGTAGATATTATATGCGAAATAAATAGTCAAAACTTTTCGTGTATTTTGTTTTGCTATTTATAGTAAACATATTGTTGCTATAACTTTTCAAATATCCGTTGCATAACGTCTGTTATTGTATTCTTTTTATAAGTATGTCAGATTGCCGGTGGCATTTGAAGTAGCAAATACCTCAATAACGTTCTCCTTACAATGAAACAGCTTCTTTTACTTTGACCATCATATACAAATATATCTTCCGCTCCGCGTGCACTATATTATTACAACAAAACTTTGAAGCAAACTGGTTTTTTACCGACATTATTTGTCACTTTCCTCCGTTATTATTCCGTATCGCACCATTTCACCTCGTTTAAAAAGGTATCGCACCGCTAAACGTTCGACCCCCCCCCCCCCTGCTTATGGTATAGTCATAATTTTTCACATAATGGGTTATAATACATCGACCTTATAATGAGTAAATCGGCAGATTTACTTTGAAAACACTTTAGTTTGTTTTGGACGTCACTGCTCATTACGTTGTGATACCATTATAGATGCGCATTATGAGACTTGATTATTTTTTAACTTATCTTTACCACAAATTGATCGACAAAGGTGATCTACAATATTCGCATTAGGTGACTCGTACAAAATATCAATTTGGTTAATAAATTAAATCATCTGCAATTACATATGTTTAGCACTTTTTAATCAATAGCATATATCACTTTCTTGCTATAAAGTCGATGGAAATTGGGCAGCTTGGACAACCTGGTCACAATGTGATGTCACGTGTGAGAATGGCACCCAAGTTAGGAAAAGATCTTGTACGAACCCGGCACCAGCTGATGGAGGTCTAGACTGTTTAGGAGACAGTATTGAGAAAAAAGTATGTGTGAAACAACTTTGTCCAGGTAAGATAAACTGTTGATCTTTACAAAATAAGTCCTTTCCTGATAGTGTCGATTATTTTAGTTTCTTTATGTTTATACCTGTATACAACAGAGACATTTTAAAACAGTTATAATTCGTAAAATATTTGAAAACAACGGAATGTATCCTCGTATGAATATCTTTATTAATAAATTGTGAAGTAGATATCCTTGTCTGTTCACTGCGGTATACTGTACCCCGGATATTGCTCGACATTATGAGGTCTTTCATCCCATTTCGCGACTTTAAACGGGGAACGACATTTTCCAAACTAATGGCTATTTCATTTATCTCAACGGAATTTAAATATCTAGAGGTATACCGCAGTGTCTATGGTGCGTGGTAATTCGGCGTGTGCAGTGTTGCACCGCATACAGCTAACATATATGCTGCGCTGACCGTCAGAAAAGTTCGATTTCAAAAACTGTTTCCGGTTCACTGAATGTTCCCTTTTTGTAAATCATCTTAAGCGTCAAGTTTGATATTTTACAGAACACAATAATTTTACGAATTTCCCGCTGGTCTGACAACGACATTTCAAAGCTTGAAACACTGGTAATACCATAATATAAATGTTGTTATTTAAAATAGCAACTTTGAGATTACATTTAGATTACGCCGAACATTGACACAATAGAATCATGATACATGTATATATATATACTGATACTTTATATCCGCTTAAACACAAGGGGAGTTTCTTTTTTGTTCAGTATAGAGTTACATGCCGCGCTTGCAATTTTACTAATTATTTTATTTTTCTATCTCACCTTATTAATTAAATGTTCCGATTTATTTCAAAAGATTGTTTACATATAGTTAAACTACCTATGTCTAAGCAAAATACTTTTTTATCTTCCCTGGTTTGTAATTATAACAATCTTGTTAAGCATCGCTGTAAAGCATACGAGGGATGTTCGAAATGTATTGCTTATTTCTATCTGAAGACTTCAAATTTCAAGTAAGCTCAAAAGTTTTTTTAATTACTCCCCGTGGCTAGATATGCAAAGTTGCAACCGATGTATCCACTTCTTGAAGGCGTCACGGTACGCTGATTTGGGCACAGTGATAATGTACTGATGAATGGCAGATCCAAGTGCCTGTCGGGACTTGTATTTCCGCCCAGCAAGGAAGGTTTTTAATTTCGGAAACAAAAAGAAATCACATGGGGCAAGGTCTGGAGAATACAGGGGTGAGCCAAAACAGTTACTTTTTCCTTTTTCGAAAACGCCGAAACTATTGCGGAGGTATTGTCATGTAGAAGACGGATATGATTAAACCCAGTGACATGGCGTCGTTTCTTAAAATTCCTTTTTCAGTTTCTTAAGTACTCCGTCTTTGTAGTATTTCCCAGATATACTTTTGCCCTTTTTCACCGGCACTTTTATTGCGACTCCTTCACCAGAGACGAAAATTGCATACAAAACCTTCTTTGCACTTAAAGACCGTTTGGCAATTATTGGGCGTTTGTTGTGTTTATTGGCCCAGATTTTGTTGCTAACTTTTCTGAGGGGCTCAAAATAATGGACCCAAGTTTCATCACCTGTGACGACATTGGCAAACTGTTTTTTGTCATATTTTGAAAACATTTGAAGCAGCTTTTTGGCCACCTTACCCGTTGCCTCTTTTGCTCATCGGTCACCAATCTAGCAGAAATCTTTCTGACTTTCAAATGCTTCTTCTAAATAAAGTGAACCGTTGATAGTGATATGCCGACTTTTCGTGCAATATCACGAGCTGTAAATCTGGCATCTCCTTCAATGATATCCTTTATTTTGGAATGATTTCGTAACGAGATTCAGATTTTGGCCTACCTAATTTTGGTGTAATTTTGATGCACTCTACACCAAACTCGAATTTCTTTTTCAATCGCCTAACTGTGACACACACAAAGGCCCATAAGCAGTAGAGAGTTCAGACATCAACTGCTTCAAAGAGCAACCCAGTTTTGAGCGAGCTTTGATGTAAGTCCGTATTTCAGTTTTTTTGTCGACGCTTCTACAAACAATTTTTACTACAGTGATCAATGACTGCATGTATTTAAATGGCAAATTGTATGTCTGACACATAGTCTAACATGTACATTTATACAACGTTGTGTAGGTATTGAATTACCCTATACAGGAATGTTTTTGCTTTTTATCGTGTCCCACGTGGATCACAAATTAGAGGACAATAAGCAATTCTTTTTCGAACAGCCCTCGTTATCTTTGTTAGACATCACTGTCTTAGTGCTTAATGGCTAAATTTCATTATATATAGATGTACTTTTCTAAAATAACTTTTTCATATACACGCTAACAGCTGTACTTCGCGGCTTTTTATGTGTTTATGTCTTTCGATATTCGAGATTATTGATTGGCACGAAAACGTGTTACATATATACAATATTTCTCTCTTACTGTCTTTCAGTTCATGGAGGATGGAGTAAGTGGTCACACTGGGAATCTTGTCCAGTAACTTGTGATATCGGAATTCAAAGACGACATAGAAATTGTTCAAATCCTTACCCAGACAGATTTGGTGACCATTGTTTTGGTGATTCAATGGATGACAAGATATGTACGCCAGGACCTTGTGCCAGTATGTTATTGTTTTTAACAATTTAAATTCGATAGAAAAATTCTGTATTCTTTATTATGTCTCTTCCAGCAGCCTTCGTGAACCTGTCCATACGTTAGTCCCTCAGTCGGTTGTCCGGCGCATTACTTAAGAACGCTTTGTTCTACAGTCCTAAGATTTGGTATGGAGGTTGGAAATGACTACTAAGAGCTGACCCTATCTTGATTTTATTTCAGTTAGTCGAAAAGCAATGTCACAACAGCTTTGGTCACAAATGGCTGGTCTAATCAAAAACTTTTTGACAGCTGTGACATACAATCTTTAGATTTGATGTGCAGGTTGATCATGACTAGTAAATTACTTGTATTGGTTTTAAGGGCAGTTGGTTGATTAAAGGTCATGTTCAAGGAGGTTTTTCCACAAAAGCTTGCTCGAACAATAACTAGAGAACTCAAATGCCTACAGTCCTTAGATTTAATATTGATGTTGGGTTTCACTAGCAAAAGACCGTTACTGATTTGGAAGTTAGTTGATATAAGTCGCCTTGACCACAAAAAGCTTGTCCTACCAATAACAAAATAATGCTTGAAAAAGCAGATGACCGTCATAATACCCCCGACCCACGAAGTTTGTGGGGTAAACTTGAGTCAGCTGGTGGTTGGTCAGTCGGTCGGTGGATTGGTTGGTTGGTCTGTCGGTCTGTTGAAAATTCATTGTCCGGGTCAAAACTCAGAATGTGCAAGAGATATCAACTTCAAATTTTGTAGGTAGATACAGTTAATTAAGTAAAAGTTCATTGCAAAAGATCATAACTCTGCCTTGCTTAATTTTGGAGATATTGCTCTTTGTTCATTTTTACACTTTGTCTAGGATATAACTCGGAAACTACAAGATATATCAAAAAGAAACTTTTTAGTAAGATAGACCTCATTGAGAAGATGTGCAGCTGTAACTCTGCCTTGCCTAACTATTGAGTTATTGCCCTTAGTTCATGTTTACACTTTGAACTGTGTCCATGACATAAGTCTGAAACCACAAGACACTTTGTAGGTAGATAGATCTTATTGGGCAAATGTGCAGTGCAAAAGTACCGTTACAATGCCTTACCTAATTTTGGAGTATTCTTTATTTTTACACTTTGAATTTTGCCCCGGACATAACTCTTAAACCATAAGGGGTTTTAATAAGGATCTTTGTAGGGGGATAGATCTCATTATGTAAAAGTTCAGTGCAAAAGGACCGTAACTCTGCCTTGCCTAATTTTGGAGTTATCGCTCTTTGTTAAGTTTTACAATTTGAACTTGACATAACTTGAGAACTATAAAAGGTATCAATATTTGTAGGTAGATCTTTGTAGGTATGTAGATCTCACTAAGTAGAAGTGCTGAAATCTCATGGAGGAAGAAGTCATGAAAACTCCAAATCCAAACTTAAATTTATTCCATTGACAAATAATTCAAAAACATTTGAAAAAAAAAATTGTTTATTTGTTTGATTGGGTTTTACGTCACTTCGACACAGTATACATGTAGGTCATATGGGCGACGTTCCAGCTTTACTGGTGGAGGAAGACATCAGGTGCCCTTCCACGCATTATTTTAGGCACCTGAGTAGAACTACCTACGTTCCATAAGCTAGCTGGAAAGCTTCTTTACATAAAAGAATCCAAAGTCCCAGTCGGGATTCGAACCCACATCAGTGAGGGCAAGTGGTTTGAAGTCAACGACCTTAACAACTCGGTCACGAAACCCTCCTCTCCTCCCTAAACTATTGATATTGAATATGTAAGTAAGCATGTGTCTGTTTTAAGACATAATTTCTTTTCAATTTCAGTGAATAAAACTACATTTTTTCGTTTTGGGAGTGTTTTCTTTTTTATTTACTTGTTTGGCAGAGAACAAAATAGAGTATTGAATAAAACATTTGAATTGCAAATTTATTTCAATGCAAATCGGTCCATTCTTAAAGTTACATGCCTCCGGATGAGTCAAAATATTTCAATAAAGTCAAACTTGAGAAAAATGTTCTAAGATGTAAGGAAACGTAAAAAGTTTCAAGTAATATTTTACATATAATGTGCGATTAATGACTGATTTTTTAGTATTTACAGCTATATTTCTACTGCGTTACTAACGCAGTAAAGGTTATTATGCATATTTTAAACAGAGAAATAAACTTATTCTCCTGTTGTTTTGTTGTTGCTTTTCTCATTTGTATATGATATATAAATGAGTTTGAGAAGGAACATGACAATTGAAGTTCAAACAGCATCACATAAAGTGACTTAGTCAGGGAAATTTACGACATAATCTTTACAAACTGCTGCGAGTTATGAATATAAAAACGTATATGACCAGCGGCAAAATACATCTTAACCTCACAACTTATTTTAGTACTTTATATATTACATTTAAGTTTTGAATTTATAATAATTATAATAATCTTTATTTAAGATGGTGGGTGGTCAGACTGGGGTACATGGGATGCCTGTAGTGTAACTTGCGGTGTCGGATTAAAGTCCCGAAATAGGATGTGTACAAATCCTGCACCTTCTCAACTTGGTCAGCAATGTGTAGGAAAGCCGATGGATATAATTACATGTAATATACAAACTTGTCGTAAGTAACATTGAAAATATACGTTAACTTTATATGAATACACAATCTTATGCATTCCTTTTGCCAACTTTCTTTAAAATAAGAAAAAAAAAGCTTTAAGCATTTGGAATTCATTACATAAAAACTACTGCGACAGTTATACACCAAATATCATAAGTTTTCAATGATAATGCTGTCCAAGGTATTCTGTTTCCATTTATCAATTTTGAAGTTATTAAGATAAAAATGAGATGAAGTAGATCAGCCCTTATAATTTAGCCTGATCAGCATGGCTTTATACTTACTCTTTCAAGTTCAAATAACAAAAATTAAAATGTTCGTCTTCTGGAGAACATGACACAGCAATAAATGTCTTCCTTCTGTCTTGAAGATGAAACGATTGCATTCGAGAGTAAAGATTTAAATTCTACAACATACACTGGTGGGCAGACTCTTTTCTTTAAGACGATTGTGACAAATAAAGGAAATGGCTACGACAACAGGACCGGCATGTTTACCGCACCAGTGGCTGGATATTACTTATTTGCGATACAGCTATGTATTACTAGCGGGAGCAGTAATTTTTTCTATTACACGTTCATGGTAGAGGGTCGTGAGGTAAAGAGGGGATTTTTTAGGGATTATGATACTTTTAGGAGTAACAGCGCTGAAGCAATTACGTATGTAGCCAAAGGAGAACGAGTCTGGATCAAATGTTCTCAAGAAACTGGGACTTTGTTTCAACAACAAATTTGCTGGAATACCTTTTCTGGAATTCTCATAAGCTAAATGAAAATTTATGTATCGCTGTAACGATGTTTCTTCTTTAAATAAAAAATCCTGATTTATTTTAGCGGTGGAATATTTCAATGAAATAATTGAACTTCAGCAATGCGTCAGTTTAATCTAATATATTGTATGACCACTTTTTAACCACCTTCCGCATATGAATGGCCTCCGTCTGTCTGTCCGTCCGTCGGTTCGTCCGTCAGTCCGTCCGTAACACTTTCGTGGCCGCTACATAACTTTTAAACCACTGATTTTTTTTGGAAATAAATTGGCACAAGTAATCACCATACTGAGACGACGTGCAGAGCGCAATAATTGGGTAGATATCCCCAAGGTCAAGGTCACACTTAAAGGTCAAATGTTAAAAGCTCTTCATTTCATAATAAAAGTCTACATTTCGTGTCCGCTCCATAATTTATAAACTACTGAATTTTTTTAAATAACATGACACAAGTAATCACCATAATGAGACGATGTCCAGAGCGCAATAATTGGGCTGTATTCCCAAGGTCAAGGTCACACTTAATGGTCAAATGTCAAAAGCTCTTCATTTCATGATAAAAGTCTACATTTCGTGTCCGCTTAATAACTATTAAACTATTGAATTATTTTAACAAGAGCTGCCACAGGAGACAGCGAAGCTCGACTAATAAAATACTGGACGCAGTAAGGAGGACAAAACTATGAAAGAAAAATCAATTATGTATAATTATGTTTTAAGTTATAGTAAAAAAATAACATTTGTTAACATAAATTCCAAGATCAAGGGGAATAATTCTAGAAATAGTCACGCTAGAGTTATGAACCTTGTCACACAACATGTGTTTTATAATGATAAGAAATATATATTTGAAGTTTGAAGTAGATACCTTAAAAGTAAAGAAGTTATAATATTTCTTAAAGAAAATCCTAAGTTCAAAGAGAGATAAATCTGTAAATAATGCTTCAAGAGTTATGAACATTGTCACATAAAATGTAATTGATGATAAGGAATAAGTATTTGAAGTTTGAGTTAGATACCTTTAAAACTAAAAAAGTTATAGTAAAAAATAACATTTTTCTAGTAAAAAATCTAAGTTTATGGGGAGATAATTCTAGCAATATTGGTGCTAGAGTTATGAACTTTGTCACATTACATGTGGATGATGATAAGGTACATATATTTGAAGTATGAGGTTGATCCCTTACGAAATAAAAAAGTTACAATAAAAAATAGTATTTTTTAAGGAAAATTCTAAGTTCAAGGGGAGATAAATCTGAAAATACTGGTTTGCCTGTGATTTTTTTCCAGGAAGGTCACTTCAGGTGGATAGGGAAACGTATGGTCCCTTTGTCACCTTTCACGGATGGATAGGGCAACTTAGGGGCCATTTTCCATAGGATTTAATATTAGTACTAGACCTAGTAAGGTTGACAATATATGCGAAATTAATTCTTTTTCAGAAATAACTGAGTTTTCTTCTGGGAAAGAAGTGTTCACTGCTTTGCTAATCAATGTGGTCTTTAATACTAAAGATAGTTATAGAATTATAACAAAATTCACGTTATAGAATATTTTTAATTTCACATTGGTATTGCGATGACGGGCGGTATTTTCAGCAGATGTGTACGTCAAAATGGAGAGAAATTAGCCGT